CCAATTTTTATTCTTCGTTTGGCTTGTCATCAGCTTCTTCAGTCAAGGCTACTCTTCCCACAATCACAGAAATTGAAAAGAGTATTTTATCTACTGTTATCAGCAGATCATAATGAAATCAAACGGCACATACAAATACTATTTAATATGCTGTCATTCATATACATACATATATACACACACTCTTCACTCTAAAGTAGGCAATCCAGTGTAAATTCTACACTTTAGCCTATATATAATATAGGTACCATTTATCTGCTCATTTTCATACAGACTGACGCTGCAACTATCAACAATCCATAATTACTAACCACATGAGGACAGTTTAACAGTTAGTAAATATTGGTTAATGTTTAAACTGGGAATGGATGGGCAACTTCACCAGACAGGTCAACGTGACTGAAATCAAGAAAGGTTATGTGAAGTATAAAAGGCTCAGCCCTGAAGCAATTTCCTTTGGTTGTTTTTTACAATCAAGTCTAATGACCCATTGTAAAACTATGTTTTGTGAAAGCGTTAGACAGACACAATATGGCTAAACTCAATTCAACCTGTGTCCCTCATCTCCCTAAGGCCTAAGATAAAAGCAGACTGTACACAAATACTCTGGTTTCGTGCCTCCCACCTCCAGAAAGCTTTAGTAACATGGGATTTGAGAGCTAGCATGTCTAGAAAATGGGGGGAGAGACCCAAATCTCTGAAGACCTAAATTCAAAACCAAGAAAAGAAGAATTTCTATATTAAGCAGTTAAAATTTCTCCTTTAAATTACAGAATAAATGTATTATCTTGCCTACTGTAAACTGTTTGTATCCAAGCTTGTGTACACACACTGTATGTATTTTTTTAAAAGACAGCTTTTAAAGTGGTTCATAAAATATTGATGAGCAATCACCATAAAGACATTCTGTGGTTCCCATCAAAGACAACTCTTCATCTTATTGGGACATGCTATATAGCCCAAACAGCTTTTAAATTCTGTACAGAAATTTTACTTAATGATGGAATATACATCAATTATAACCCTGTTTTCTCCTAGCTTACAGACATTGCAACTCCTTAGCAATACTTTCCTAACATACTATGTCATCATAACCGGGGAACTAAGCACGTGAGTGGAAATGGGTGCCCCAATGACGTAAAAATCGCTGTAATCCAGTCTTATAATGTGGGTAATGTGCAGGCGAAGCAAGGTTTACTAAACTGTTAAATCAGAGCCTTGCATGATGAAACTGTTCTGTATATCAGGAAGAGTGACACACCCTGGCTACACCACTGTGGCTGTCATTTTGAGAAACCTAATTCTGAGGCTGAGACCAAATTAATTTGTCCAGCTTCTAACAGGCAGTATAGCGGTTTCAGATTATAAATTACAATATCATAGTAAAAGTACCTGAAGATGCCTCTAGTTAAAATACATCTTGGGACACAGTATAAATATTCATCAGACATGACCTGTGTATAAATACTGCACAGTTATTACAGATCACTTCTGGAAATGGCAGTTTACCTGATAATTTACCTGATAACTAGGAAATTTCAAAGTTCCAAAAGACTCATGATAAAAGTCAGGGTGATATAAAAATGAGACTTCACAAGGTCTCTTAAAAACTCTCTTTTGGCTGTTAGTGCAATAATAAACACAAGCATCCTTCTTTTCCATTTTCTGATGAAGAAGGATAAAAAGGTAAAGTCACATGAAAAGCGCTTATGCAAATTATCTCAATAGAGAGTTGGGAACTGACAATTACACTGTTTGCAGACAGATGAGGTAAAGATCTGCTTCTTGAAACCATCTCTTGAACCAGCAGAATGACACTGTTCTGAAGAGGGTTTCCTGACAATGCCCTTAAGACTGAGAAATAAAGCTAGAAGAAACCCCTTCATATTTCATACAGAGTTCTAAATAATTCCAAGAAAGTAATTTTCTTCGGGAGTATAGTAAGCTTTCAACCAAATCCAACAGGGGAGCCATTTTCTTGGAAAACTAGAAAGACGACTATTAGGAAAAAAAAAAAAAGGAAGGAGGCAAATTCTTTTTACAAAGTTTCCTATTTTGTAAACTGTGCACTACAAAATTCAAGCATCCAAGAAAAATCTACTGTACCCCTTAAGAAAGGGGAACCCAAGGAAAGCTAGACTTTTAGACTTAAAACTAGCAACTAGGATAACCACCTTGGAATCTGGACAGAAAATCCAGACAGCTCTTGTTAGGCTGACCAATCTACAGAGACAGCTGCCCTACAGAGTGCAGACGCTATGCAGTTTAAACTTATTCAATTTAAATATTCAGTAGAAACATTTTTTTAAACTTTCAATATATACATAGCCACACTACAGGAGTATACCACCCATGCAACCTTTTGATTTTCTTTAAAAAAAAAAAAATAGGTGAAGAAAATTGTATCATACAACTATGACAGGTATCAAACTTAAAACGTCCTAACATCAGCTGGCTATGAATTCAGAATTTGTATTTAATCCCCTGCCCCACAACACCTCTGTCTCCTGAACCCATTTGCAGCTTTTGAAGTTGTTACTAATGATGTAGACTTATGAAGACAGAGGGTTACATTTCATTTGGGTTTACATACATGAATTTAAGCTTCTACCATGTATCTTAACCAACAGTCCCGTTATCTACGGTATTTTACTTCACTTGGATAATGAAAGTTCACCATTAGACTCTTTCATAAGACACAGTGAAAAAGAGCTTCATGTTCTTCTCCATTAGTGGAAGATCATTCCCAAATACATAAATTAATGCATTATCATTAAACAAATTTAAATGAAAGAAATATAATTATAAGTAACAACTCCTATTTTTATGGTTGCCTTTTGCAAAAGTAAGCCATTATCATATGCTATGACCCCTGTCAATTTGTCAATTCTCTTTCCAATTGAAATTCTATTTTCAGAGAAGAGTTATGGTTGGAAGGGACTTCTGGAGGTCATCTGGTCCAACCCCCTTGATCAAGCAGAGCCACTTAGAGCCAGTTGCCCAGGACCATGACCAGATAGTTTTTTAATACATCCAGGGATGGAGACTCCACAACCTCCCTGGGCAACCTGTGCCAGTGCCAGTCACCCTCACAGTGAAAAAGTGTTTCCTGACGTTCAGAGGGAACCTCCTGTGTTCCAGTTTGTGCCCGTTGTCTCTGGTCCTGTCACTGGGCACCACTGAGAACAGCCTGGTTCCGTCCTCTTTGCACCCTCCCTTCAGGTATTTATATACGTTGATGAGATCCCCCCACTTGAGTCTTCTCTTCTCCGGGCTGAATAGTCCGAGCTCTATGAGGAGAGATGCTCCAGTCTCTAGTCTCTTAACCATCTTCATGACCCTTCGTTGGATTCTCTCCATTATGTCCATGTCTCTCTTGCACTGGGGAGCCATTCTTATTCATTTTTTCCAATAAAACTTCAGAAATCCTGTGTTCCACTACCATTTGAGAAATCTCCGAAGGAACTGGCACTATATACGGAATTCAGCAGCCCACTTACTCCTTTTTATTCAAATCACTTACAGTAAGCTAGAAAGAACCAAAATCTTTCCCAAAATTCACACTTTTTAGTTTAAATGTTCCTTAACACATCTATGAACATTATTTTCCAGAATTATATCAATATGTAAAATACAATCTTAAAATCAGTTCAATGAAAAGCATGATTTTAACAATTGCTACTAGACTGTTTGTCTTCTTTCTAGTCATACAATATTCAGTCACAATAACCTGAGTAACTATGGTATTGAAAAAGCAGTAATGTCTGGAGTCAGTATAAATATTACAAAGCCCATTTTTGCAAAGGGAGGGCATGCTGACCCAGGTTATCATCTTACTCCCTTAAGAATAAATAAAATTCAGGAAAATCAGATAGGGATCTGAAATACTGTGCTGTTGTAAAAATCATGAAGCATCCCCATCTCCAACACAATGTCATGATGCTTCTGGGAAAACAGTTTGGCTAATTTAATAACAAATTTGAATATGTTGAATATGTTTCTTCTTTGTATAGTACAGTAGGTTGTACCCCCCAAAAATAAATGCCATAAGGTAAGGACAAACTGGGAAAAGTTTTGGTTGGGAGTATGTAATACACGTTTCAGTTCTGAAAGCAATCAAAGCAGTATGAAACCTTAAGGCCTTCAAACCACAAACTCTAGAAGCTTTACACCACACTACACAATTCCTTGATAGAAGCTTTTTTTTTTCTTTTAAAATTTTGCACTGTTTCTACACTTTCATGCTGTATTTCAAAAACATCATACTCCAGCATTAAAGTTAGAGTCAATGTCTTGTGGACCAGACACTTGTTTATATTGAAAGTACAGTCAATTAAACTAAACCTTGTAATTTAAAGCTTCATGGAACAGTAATTTTTATGGCCTGATAAGTAATGGAGACAAACTTAGGTAACCCAGAAAGACCCAGACAAATATGTTTATTTAATAGCAAGTGTTTACTAGTCAGGCTGCAGAAACAATACTGTCTTTTCCCCCCTTCAGTGCTAAGTACTGCATGTACACACACATGAACACAGCCAGAGAGAGCAAGGAACACAGTTACAAAAGAACATTAAACCAGCAGATAATTTATCTGTCCTGCTGAGGAAAGCTCAAGGAAGTGAGCCAGAACATCTGAAAAGAAGAAAACACGAGAGGACTAAACATATGAAAGCAGAGATACAGCACTGAATTAAGATAGCACAGAAACTTTAAACAATACTCTACACCCACCTACATTGATGCAACTTAAATAATTTCTTGAAGTCTTCCCAGGATCGTTTACCTATGAATCCAACAGGCCACAGAGCTCCTGCCAGAAAAGTTCTCTGAAATTATCACTTACACAAAGCGTACACGGCAAAGTATCACACTGCCGAAACATTTAGCTAGAGGAGAAAGCAAGCATTAGGTTGATGAAGACCATAACAGCAGCACTTCTGCTAGCTAATGCTTACATCTTTCAGGCTAGCTGCAATTATTTCAAGTGTGATGCTTACCTTTAATAGTTTCCTCCACAACTTCTACTACACGATCTATCTGCTGAACCTAAAAAAAGTCAGAAGGTCAATATCTAAGTAGTCAACAACTGGACATATTTTATATATACTCTTCTTTCAAAAGTGTGTTCTTCTGGATTAAGGGGGAGTAAAGAGTTTGCGGCTATGTTTTTAGCCATTTTTTTCCTGTGAATCTTGGTTCATCTGCCAAAAGTAACTTTAAAACTCACCACCTAACTTAAACCAAATTTTGCCCTCAAAAATAGCAAGTTCCTGTAAGTTTGGCTAAAATCACGAAATGGCTAGAAAAGAGGGACCCTAGAAAAGAGTTCAGGCCTTAACTGCTGTTCATGGTCTGTGAAAGGCAGTGGTCACCCAGACAGTCGGCACCTGGGCAGCTCAAACAGCCCCTAAGTGCTCCCTCTCCCCAGTCTCAACGCCAAAATAGTAGATGGTAGAGAACATAAGAAGCTGAGGATATTCTGAGGGCAGATTACAGGGGAGAAAATTAAGGAAGTATTGCAGGAGAAAGACACTGGAACATGGGAAGAAATTAAACATACCATGGTTAAGTTTAGGGGAACAAGACGTTGTCCTGGACTTACTGCAGGCAGTGTTTGGAAATAGAAGGAAAAGCCCCGATGCTTTTCAAAAGACAGAATAACATTTAATGACCATGACATAGCATCTCCAACAAGGACAACAAATTTATGTTTTAGTGTTACATTTGCCAAAATCCACCCATAATGTGATAAACCATTAAATTATTTCTTATTAGATAGAATATTCTTTATTTAAACTTAAAGGCCAATACACTACAGAGATTTTGGTATATTAAGTAGAAGGAATCAGCATTAACACTGCAAAATTAAACACTCAAAAATTCTTAAAGTTGAGATTCTTCCTCCAACTTTCATCCAAACTGCATACTCTATGTAATGTCTACTACATATGCACATATATGTTTACATATCTTGCAGGAAAGCCAAATACAGAAAGCCCTACTTTGCACCTTTAAATGAGTTTATAATTTTTCCACAATATTCCTTTTAAAACACTGCTTCTCTAAGCTGTACGCTATATGAAATAGATTTAGTATGATTTTGCAGTCATTTCCTTGGAGTTTCTTTTCCAGTTTGTTTCAAAAGCAAGCAGAAAAGCACACGTTGCAGAGGCTTCAAGAGCAGAACCTGGGCTGCAACAAGGAGCCTGGAAGTTGGATCCCTTGCATCAAAGCCATTAAGTCTCTGTGCCCTTAAACCACCAAGTCTGTAATTTCCTGTAAACACGTCTGCACAATCATCTCTATTTCACATTCATTTTCCAATCCCTGTAATTGCAGCT